AAGAGAAGAGTGCACGCAAAAGCAACATTTCTCCGGTCTTAATTTTATATAAAATGTCATTCCAAATTCATACATAATAACAATAGTGGTTACAATATAAAAAAATGACATGTAAACACAATAGATAAGAAAAGTATCAAAGGCATGATTTGAAGAAAACGAAAACTAAATCTTAGAAAAAAATAGGGTGCGAAAACAAGCTAAGAGCAAGTAGATTCGGTCATCTTAACTATTCAGTAGCTAAAGTGAAAGTTAGGTCATTTGAGATGAAGATGCATACAAAGGCTTTGGGTGATAAATGAAAGAAAAGCGAGAAATACTAGAGTAATTAGTTGATACTAACTAGGCTGATAAGAGCCAATACAGACGAGTGTTTATGCACTCTTCTATTTTTTCGGTACCCTCAAGGGTTCGGATAGAGTAGAAAGTGTAAAAATGTTGATGGCTTACTTCTCCGGGAGACTGGCTTCAGAGCTATCCGCCTTTTCTACAAGATTTGTAACCGTTTCCGCACAAGATTTCTCGTCTCGTGCAATACACAAGGCCTCGAATGCAGTAGATACTATTCCACTAGCAGAGACAGCACGGACGGCTGCAGCCGCAAGGTTGATGCTGATGCAACCGTGTGGACAGACAAGCTGGCTACCAGCTGAATTGCAGGGTAGAATACGAAGTCGAGTTATGGGCTGAAGAGAAGGCGGCGAGATTCGTAAATCAGGATCAGTTCGGCGGGGAGCTATGCGGTCTGGCTGTTTACGGCTTCCAGATGAGACTGTTGTATGGGCTCCAGTAAAATCTGAAGTAAGTGAACAGGAAGAAGAGTCCGAGGTGGAATAAGGCGCTTCAGAGGTAGAACCGAGTAGTTGTGATGGTGGAAGCTCAGGCCGATGGAGCCACTCAGTTAGCCAGGCGGTCGGCACTAACAAAAGTTGGCTCAGAGTGGATGGACCACTAATAGAATAGATGGAATCAATAGGGATAGTAGGGCCGGTAGCAACAGCAGAACTTGGATCAACCACAAGGGAACGCAGGATACTGGTTGAACGGAGGGCTTGCTCACGCTTTAAGGCAATCTCACGGCGCTGAGAAGGGCATGAACAAGGAAGAGTGGGGAGTAAATAACGTTCATCTGTTCATAATTTTATTTTTTGACGATTTTTTAGTAATAACATTTTTTCAATAGATACAGAGGCCAGGATGGTGTGGTTGTTTGTTTGGTCCTAGCCTCCTTTAGCTGGATAGGGCTGGTTCGACCGCTTTATCACATATTGTTCGGGATAATTCAAGGAATGCACTCGGGATTGCCTCATCTGCGAATGCTGTACCCTTCTCTTTTAGTATCCTATCAGTGACAGTACATGCTCCGAAGTATCGCCAACGCTGATAAGTAGAAGCGTCGGCCGAAGCACCAAGCTACAACTAGCTAAACTGAGAATTTAGATTATGGATATAATGTATAATTTGATACCATTAATGAGGATGAATCTGAGAACTATACCAGAGTAATAAAAATCCACTTTACCAAAACATTTACGAAGCAGCTGCTGTAAAGCGTAAACTAAAATAAATAGTGTGATTGAAGGCAATAGATGGGTCATGCTATGTCTAAAAAATGTCAAGGGTACTAAATGACCTAACAAATAAAAGTAGTTTTTCGAGGAAGCTCCTGATTTACGAATGCTGAGTTTACATTCATTTTGAGTGAGTTTGAAGAAGAAATCTGAAGACCGATCACATAGGGAGACAACAGCTGATTTCGCTTAGTCAACATTAATGGCATTAATGGAACATTCTGGACGACACTGTGGTTAAGCTATCCTCTTCGATTCAAGTGAAAATGGACCGAGCTTTCGTCTGCTTTCACTTGGCGAAGATCAAAATAGGTGGATCTTGTTCTTACAAAAACTTCGAGTCAACACGGAGCACAGAACGTTTTTACTTGTGTCAAGGAGGTTGCGTCGCGGATAGCGTTGGTCGAGAAGTTCTAGCAAAGACAAATGAGTGAGAAAAAATAGGAATCCACCGTCCTCTTCTTTTTGAGTTGTTGCCTTACACGCCTTCCCTAAATATATGCTCTCAACTATTAAATAAGCACCAATCGCAAGATAAAGGAATGAGTTTTTTGAGGATCATGAACACATAAAGGATGATACGACTTATTACCTCCAAAGGACGTCGACGAATGGAGATGTACATATAGGCCTACTTTATCTTTAACATGGGCAAGGATAAAGTAAGCAAATAGTTTAAGATGAGCTGAGTCCTACAAAGAAGAACTAAACCCAAATAAATATCAATTTAGAGACATCAGAAATCAGACATGCATAAACGAGAAAAGTAAGAGCAGATGGGATACAGAAGTCAAAAATTGCCATTAGAGTTAGAGAATTTAACTGCCCTTGGAGCCAAAAAATAATTATAATTTAATGAATAAATTATCAAAAGCTGGGTTTTAGATAATATCATGCCAACCCGATAAAGATGCAATCAATGAGTAAGTGAACCTAAAAAAGGTGGGATTTAAGGCAAGAGATAGGTTATGTCCTGCCAAAAAGATTTCAAAGGTATTGAATAATCTATACGAATCGCATCGAAGATATGAAGATCAAGATGTTGTGGCCACCGGTATGGTCATAGTCTCCTTTCGATTTATAGAAGTTGATTGACCTCGTTGTCAAGGCGACATAGAAGAATGCACCTTGTCCGAAGTTCTCTTCCATAATAGTTATCATAATTACCAGCATCAGATCGTGGACTTGGTACATTCTCAAGTCCACTGCCTGATGCTGGGAATTATGATAACTATTATGGAAGAGAACTTCGGACAAGGTGCATTCTTCTATGTCGCCCTGACAACAAGATCAACCCACTTAAACACGAATTAAATATGGCTTTCGAAGAAGCTCTGATTTACGATTGCTGAGCTCACATTCATTTTGAGTGTGTGATGCATAAATTTAAAGTTCGATTCCATTGAACTAAACGCTTTATGGAGTAAGACTATTCAGAAGTTCTGATTTTCGATTTGAGCGAAAGGTTTCTCTGCGCATCTTACTGCGAAATCGATAAATTTATGCCGAGTTTTTGTCTATTACCTTAAATTCATTGTTAGAACAAGATGGCTTTAACATAACGGGCAGAAGTCAAGCATCGTTCATGGAATTTGTAAGATGTGGGAGAAAGACTCCAAAGCGCTAATTTAGATTATTAATTAGAAGAAATTCTTTTTTTAAGTCCCGGTTGGGTCAATTTAGGATTATCCTCTCTGTAACTTTCTATATGAAATGAAGGTACGTTGACATATAATTGTAATATACAAGGCGTATCAGAGATTGTTTAACAGCGAAGATTTAGTAAAATGATAATAGCTATCAAAACTTACTTTGGCTTCGAGTTCTTCGCTTTTTTCTTTGGCATGCAATAGATTGGAAGACTCTACGAGTTCCCTCAAGTGAACTGGAATAGGTACAGCCTCCGAGGCGAAATCTAGGGAACCGAAACAAAAGTTTAAGAGTCCAAAGTAAGGGAAAATATTTCTTGAAAATAAGTCTTCATTTATTTCATTGCGGCGCATGGCCATCACATTCTAAAGAGCTATGAGAACAGTTAGGGCCTAGTAGGCAAGAAAACGTAAGCTAGTAAAAACTGCAAGTAGCTACATACTTGGTTCTTATCAATAAACTAATTACTAAATAACCAATCTAGGCTTTTGATTTATCTATGCTTGTTAGCATAATAGACAAATTTCACTAGACTTAAATAAAGAAAAATTTAATATTCGAACAGGCCTGCTTGATAGGGCATATGAAGTACAGGTAGTATAAATGCCGACTGTTTAAGCAAATCAGTGACCCACAGAAACAGACGTGAAAGTGAATCGGATAGGCGATTTGACCTTAAGCAACCGTTTATCCAACTCTTTTATCGGGATAGAGCTACAAATTATTCTTTCATGGGGATGCATTTAACCTTAAAACCAGTCATATAATTGTCTTTCTGGTAAAATGAGGTAACAAAGATATAAAAGGAATGACATACCTGACCTAAAGACATCCTCACGCTGATAGAAAAGCATATACACATTTGAAGAGGAGTGCCATCGGTTGTCTGGCTCAAGCCCGATATCTCCATCGGTCAAGCCAACCTCAGAGCCCTCGAATTGCTTCAAACCTGTATCAGAGGCACGAACTTCTTCGTCAGAAGCTTCATCAGAGGCATTTACAATGGTCGATCGTTCCGTAGAAGTGGTGGCAGGATTTAGGGCTGGAGGGGGAGGAGGTGGTGGAGGATGGCCGTGCGCAACCTTGGAGAGTTGTAACTGCTCCCCAGAGATTGTATAGACCTGAAAAACATAAATATGGGTTAGATATACGTAGAGATCAAAGTTAGATAGAAAAGTCTTGAATGAAAATAAAACAACCCAAGCATGGCGATAGCGCAAATAGTAGATCAAAAGTTCTTGGCGTAAAATATATTAACTTGGAAGTGGGCTGATCTCGATTTCACAACTTGGTCGTATTGTAAGGTCGACATCGTTGGACACACCTTGTCCGAAGTCCTCGGTCCCAGCGTCAGGCAGTCAAATTTGTACATTCCAAAACGTTTTGCCGGCATCGTGAGTATGTCTTGCCACTTACAGCACCAAGCTAAAACTAGTCAAAGACACAAGTGAAGTCAATCCCTTGAGTATCTTTCTGCCGAAATGGCTGTGCTAGCACTCCTCTTTCTTTCCTGGCCCATCTATCTACCTCATACCAGCTTATCACAACTTCTGACTTGTTTATGTTCCACTCTCTAAGAGGTATTCCATTTTTGCGAGTTTAGTGCGGCGTCATCACACATCCTGTTTATTTTGCCCCTCCACCTCATCTCTCAAATTGCTGATCCGACTTGAGTCTCCTATCCGGATCTCCCTCATGAGGCTGTAGATTCATTTGTTCCTTTCCTGTTGACTGATTTCACTCGGTTCCAGACCCAGTGTACGTTTTACTTCAGGCGCTGTTTCTCAATCCTTCAGTAGAAAGATTAGGATAGTGAGGAGCATGATCTTCAGAAGCCTAGCATTGACGAACGTGAAATTCTGGGATAAAGAATTTGACAAATTGACTCGGATATGCCTCAGCAATGGTTACCCAAGCGATGTAATACAAAGAGAGATACGGGTCGTAAAAAAACAATGGCAAGAAGGGGTTTATGAAAGAATAATAAGGATGAAAAAAGACTCACAAAAGTGGATATGCCTACCTTCCTGTAAACTAATTTACAAACGATGGCCAATATTTAAAAATGGAATATTCAGGTGACCATGAAGAAAAGGAAGACCGTCACAAGTTTACCCAACGAACATGAGAATAAAATTGAAAAAATCGGATTACTCTGGAGTTTATTAAATAGCATCCGGCGGCTGCGAACATAAATATATTGACAAAACAGGGAGAAAAATAAACATACAAAATAAGGAAGATCAAAGGCTCTGAAAGAAAATGGATATCTAATGCCAGAAATAGCGGAACACATCGCTCAGACTAGACACTAGATCAGTTGGAAGACAACACAAAGGGCCTTATATGCCATCTTACAGGGAAACGTAAGATTAAAAATGCCATTGCGGGAAAGACATTTAATGAACAGGAGAATTGAAAAATGCAGAGTTAGCCATATGTATAAAAACTCTTTTGAAGAATCCCTTAATAGATTGATGTCAGAGTACCTTTCATTTCGTTTGAAGATTTAGCGAAGACTATGTCCGTTAATAAAAAAAAAGCACGGAGAAAATAAGGATATGGCAAGACCAGCAAAAGCAAAATGATTGTATCAAGAACCTATCGTTAATCAGAGAAAAAGGAATCGTAACGAAGAAGCGGGCGGGGAAGTTTGGGAAATCAAGCGGAGATGTTCGCAGTGAGTTTTGTAGCTCGAAAATACAACTACAACTTTGGGGGACTTACAGTAGCAGAATGACAACCGTTATGGAAATTCATCATTATGTCTAAATTGACTAGAAATCCACTCGATGCAGCATGCGACCAAGGATAGCCGTCCACAGTTAAGACGAATTTAAACGAGGATATGATCGGAAGAAAATGCCTAATATCTGCAAGCACGGAAATCAGAGCCTAGGCGCTCTGCTTGGTGAGGTGAAAATATAAAGGCTACTGAAGGTCTGAGAAACAGCACCTGGATTAAAACGTACACTGAATCTGGAACCAAGTGAATTCAGTCAGCCAAAAAGAAAAAAACGGATCTACAGGACCATGAGGGAGATCCGGATTGGAGGCAATTTGAGAGATAAAGAGGGGGGAAAGGTAAACAGCAGATGTGATGA